TATGATTAAGAGTCTTTCAATGTCTCTTCAAAGTCCAGTTGTCTGGCGCCCTTGTTTAGGCGAATGCGTCCTTTTTTATTGGGGCTTTCTTCGGTTAGTCTCGTTCCTGTGTTCGCTAGCAATTCTAAACATTTGTTTCTTGATGATCAATTTCGCTCTTGTGTATCTAACTCTGACCAGATATGCATACCTTTATCATTTGTTGAGAGTCCCATTCGGCTGGTCTCTTTGCAGTTGTAAGTTCGCCTTCGACCAGCGTTCTCTTATTAGGAATCTACCTTCGGCATAGTATTCCTGGATGAAGATTCCCCTTCGGCTGGTTTCTTTATCCTAAAGTCCACCTTTGGCTGGCATCCTTTAAAATCCACCTTCGGCTAGTACCATTTGTTGAGAGTCCCCTTCGGCTGGTCTCTTTGCAGTTGTAAGTCCGCCTTCAACCGATGTTCTCTTATTAGGAATCTACCTTCGGCATAGTATTCCTGGATGAAGATTCCCCTTCGGCTGGTTTCTTTATCCTAAAGTCCACCTTTGGCTGGCATCCTTTAAAATCCACCTTCGGCTGGTACCGTTTGTTGAGAGTCCCCTACGGCTGGTCTCTTTGCAGTTGTAAGTCCGCCTTCGACCGGTGTTCTTTTCTTAGGAATCTACCTTCGGCATAGTATTCCTGGATGAAGATTCCCCTTCGGCTGGTTTCTTTATCCTAAAGTCCACCTTCGGCTGGCACCCTCTAAAGTCCACCTTCGACTGGCACCCTTTAAAGTCCACATTCGGCTGGCATCCTTTAAAATCCCGCTTCGGCTGGTATCTTTCAAAATCCCGCTTTGGCCGGTATCATTTGTTAAAATCCCGCTCCGGCAGGTATCTTTCAAAACCCCGCTTCGGCTGGTATCATTTGTTAAAATCCATCGTCGACTGGTATCATTTTTCAGGAGTCCCATTTGTTGGTCTCTTCCCTCAGTAAGTTCACCTTCGACTGGTATCTTCTTTGTAAGAGCTTTCTTCGGTCTGTCTCTTTCATACGTATCTGATACCGACCACTGATATGTATCTTTTTCTTTCTTACGTATCCGATTACCGACCACAGATATGTATTTTTGATACCTGTTTTATATGTCTGCTACCAACCCCATACATATGTTCTTGTATCTTTGATGTCTTCTGTGCGTATCCGATACCGACCATGGATATGTACCTTTGATATCTCTTTTATACGTATCTGATACCGACCACAGGTATGTATCTTTTCTATATCTTTTGTACGTATCCGATACCGACCACAGATATGTATTTTTGATACCTATTTTATATGTCTGCTACCAACCCCAGACATATGTTCTTGTATCTTTGATGTCTTCTGTGCGTATCCGATACCGACCACGGATATGTATCTTTGATATCTCTTTCTTATGTATCTGATACCGACCACGGATATGTATTTTTGATACCTGTTTTATATGTCTGCTACCAACCCCAGACATATGTTCTTGTATCTTTGATGTCTCTGTCGTATGTATCTGATACCGACCACGAATATGTATCTTTTCTATATCTTTTGTGCGTATCCGATACCGACCACGGATATGTACCTTTGATATCTCTTTTGTACGTATCCGATACCAACCACGGATATGTATCTTTTCTATATCTTTTGTGCGTATCCGATACCGACCACGAATATGTACCTTTGATATCTCTTTTGTACGTATCCAATACCGACCACAGATATGTATCTTTTCTATATCTTTTGTGCGTATCCGATACCGACCACGGATATGTATCTTTTCTATCTCTTTCTTACGTATCCGATACCGAACACGGATATGTATCTTTTCTATCTCTTTCTTACGTGTCCGATACCGACCACAAATATGTATTTTTGATGTCTCTTTCTTGTATATCCGCTACCGACCCCGGATATGTATCTCTGATACTTCTTTTTCGTATGTCTGCTATAGACTTCAGGCATATATCTTTTGATATCTTTCTTACAGGTGTTTGTTACTAAATCCCAACAGAAGTTCCTCGATAACCAAGTTATCCTTCGGTGTGTCAAACTCTGGTTAAACATACATCTAACCCTGATAACTCTTTTTTACCTAAAAAAAATATAAAAATAGAAAGTACAGAAAACCAAAAAATATAGTGTATACCTGACTGACTCCGGAGCGCAAATTTTTGGGTTCTTTTAAGTATTTAATCTTCTTCCACCTTGAAAGTTCGAAAGGCCGGCGCCAATCTCACCTTCAGGTTGAAGGCGATTAAATAGGGGCAGCTGTTGCACCCCAAAATTTGCCCTCCTAATTTCTTCTAGTTTGGCTTAGACTATCGCATTCATCTGCATCTGTTCATTAGGTCATTAACATGGCATACATTTCATTCAATATAGCTCTGCAGTTCAAAATTCAGTGGTTGTGCGATATCATGGTTTCGCAACGGTTAAGGCGTCCGTATCCAATAAAGGCTGATTTCTTATTCAGGCAGTGAGCAGTGGAATTGGGATTGTGAGTCGTAGTCATGAGAATTTCTTTCTTCATTAAAGTTCAAGGGCTATTATCCCTTCAATTTTATCAATGTCAGAGATTAGGATTTACTTCCCTATACCAGGTCAAGAGAATCGGGATTTCTCTTCATTTTTGTTCAGGCTTGGTAGTGGTTCTTCAATGGAGGTTTATCGGACTAAAGTCTCACTTCAAGGCTACATGGAGCACGACCCTCCCCTTGTTGGAGGTTCGTCATCATCTAAGGACTACTTGTTTTATAAGTCGACTTTGTCCAGGATGCCTAAGGGATTGAATCAAAGTTTTCTCCTTTGACAAGCGATTAAGGATTGCTTTGAGTCCAGATATGTCTTGTTAGTTAAGCTATGGGTCAGGAGTTCATTTAGCTCATTTTACCAAATGAAAGGTGGTTGTTTCAAATTCAAGATGACTAGAATTTATGGATTTATTTGGGATTAAGGTTCAGTAATTAAACATGCCATGGAAGTATACTAATTTCATTTTCTTACCGAGCGTTGATCGGCTCAAGGGCTCATATATGTTATGAATTCCGTTGGCAAATAATCAAGAAGCATAATTCAAGGTATCGATTTATGACTCCCTTATGGCTAAGCCAAGCATGTAGAGTGGAAAACCGAATAGCGTATAACATTAGAATTCCACTCATATTTTCATTAGTATATTTTAGGGTATATGTTAATTTGTAACATTATTAACCTAAATTGAAAATAAAAGCCTAACTGTTGTAGTTATAACCCTCGAAACTACTACCCCTCTCCTAAACTCTAAAGAACGCCTCTATCTTTCTCTACAGAGTGCGGACCCACTGGAGCATGATGGTAGTCTTAACGGAGCTGTAAAATGCATTTGTTAGCGAAGGAGACAGAAATTCGATGACCAACTCTGCCACATTTCCTCAAGGGGATTTCACGGACATAGATGATGATCCACGTGATGATGAAATTCTTAGACCTCCATCTCTTCTATCTACAGCCAGAAATCTCCATCCATTTTCTCTTCTTGATCCTACACTTGGTAGAAATATATTTTATACTCATCTCGGTTCAATAAACCAGAGGCCATTTGTTACACATCCAAGAGAGGTAAGGGAGATTCCAATAGAGGTTAAGGATGGTAGTCAATCCACTCCTCAAGCTGGCCACACTCCAATCGTTAAAGATGTCACTGGAACTGTTCATGCCCAAGGTTCGGGTACACATGGGAGTGTCGTAATAATTAATGATGATGATGACGACGATACTCCACCTGCTCCGACTCATACTTTGCCTGACAGTAGTATAATACCTAGTGCTCCCAACTTTGATAACTTACCAGATAATGGCAATGACATAGAAGAAGCAATGATTTGTGCAGCCATTGAGTCATCCAAACAGAAGGCTGAGGAAAATTACAGCAATCACGAACTTGGCAGACAAGTTAACTTAAGTGAATCTGGGCCCAACGTAAGGCAAACATTTGTGGAGGATCCTGAGCTTGCCCATGTAGTTTCATTGTCCCTGAAGACAGCAGAACAAGAAAAAGCACGGCGCATACAAGAAGGTGATGTTGGAGCACCTTCAGCCGGACCATCTAATGATTGACCTAGAGACTAGCATTCCATCTCATGCAACAAATACAGCGATAAGCGAGGACCTTGGACAAATAGAGTACATTTTGACAGACAAAACAGACACCTTGACTGAAAATAAGATGATATTCAGAAGATGTTGTATTAATGGAATTTTCTATGGAAATGAGAATGGAGATGCATTGAAAGATGTAGAGCTCCTTAATGCGGTTTCCAGTGGTTCTCCTGATGCTGTACTATTTCTTACATGGCAATATGTAATACTGTCATACCCACACGAAGCAAAACTGGAGATATCTTGTATAAGGCACAGTCGCAGGATGAAGATGCTCTTGATCAAGCTGCTGCTCAGCCGCATATGATTTTCATCAATAAAAGTGGAAACATTCTTGAAGCCAAGTTCCACACTACTATACTTCAGTATGAAGTCCTGGAGATCTTAGAGTTCACTTCTGATAGGAAAAGAATGTCAGTAGTGTTGAAAGATTGCCAAAATGGAAAGATCCTTCTCCTGTCAAAGGGAGCAGATGAGGCTATTCTTCCATATGCTCGTGCTGGGCAGCAAACTCGTCACTTCATTAAAGCTGTGGAACAATATGCTCACTTGGGATTACGTACACTATGTTTGGTTTGGCGCGAGTTAAAGAAAGATGAATATCAAGATCGGTCTTCGATGTTTAAAGAAGCTAGTAGCACTTTGGTTGATAGGGAGTGGAGAGTAGCTGAGGTCTGCCAAAGAATAGAACATGACTTGGAAATCCTTGGTGTTACGGCGATAGAAGATCGCTTACAGGATGGAGTTCCTGAAACAATAGAAACACTAAGGAAAGCTGGAATACATTTTTGGATGCTAACAAGAGACAAACAGAATACTGCAATAACAAAACCCCAAGTAACTGAATGAAACCGTGAAAATGGATCAATCTCAGAACCAGCGATCACTAACAACACCACCACCACCATCGCGTTCTGTTCAATTCCACCCTGCTCGAGTACCGATTCTCGATCTCCTCACTCTACTTAGGACTTGGAAGAAACAGCCGCAACAAACCCGACGACTCATTCCGCGAACCACCGAACAAAGCGCAAAAACGCGTGCATGCTATTAACAGAGAGCTTCCACCGCCAAATGAGCAATTCATTTTAGATTTTGAGCAACTTCAGAGCCAGTTTCCGAACCATGAGCAATTACGTTTCGTGGTTGAAGCTGTTCTTATACCATTGGTTGCACAGTGTAGTGGTCATGGGTCGCGATCAGACTTTCTTATTTTTATTTTTTGAAGCTTGAGCGGTATTTGGTTCATTAACTGGGACGCCTTTCTTCCGTCCCTTCTTTCTTCAGTTTCTTCGGCAGAATTACCGGTTGATCAAATGAGTCAAGCAGTGTCAACAATTACCTCTTCTAGCTTATCACAGTCAGGAATGTTGCCTCCTCTAAATACAATTACTAATTCTTCTAATTTTCAGTCTTCAAATCCTGCATCTCCATTGAATTCTGTCCATACTATTGGCTCCCCTGCATAGCCATCGATTGAGCCATCATCTGATATTTCCTCGAGTCAATTACAATCTAAACTAAGAGGCAAACCGTCTGTTGAAAATAATGATATCAGTAACAGTAACCTTCGCCAGCTATGTTGCAAAATCATTTTAACTGGTCTGGAGTTCAGTTTAAAACCTGTGACATATGCCGGAATCTTCAACCATATGCTCAATTGGCTGGTGAATTGGAACCAGAGACAACATGGAGTTGATGAATCTGTTATTCTGAAGTCATGGAGACTTGACGAAACTGTAATTGCCTGGCTACATAGTTGCTTGTATGTGATCTGGCTTTTAGTTGATGAGGGAAAATGTCGGGTTCCCTTTTATGAATTATTACGTAGTGATTTTCAATTCATAGAAAATATACCTGATGATGAAGCATTATTTACACTTATCTTAGAGATCCGCAGGAGACGAGACATGATGGCTCTGCACATGCAAATGTTAGACCAGCATCTTCATTGCCCTACATTTGGGACTCATCAGATCCTAAACCAGACCACACCTACTATTTCAAATTTAAACGAAGCAATAGCGCACCTGCGACTATCACCACTCTCATATTTAAGTGTACTTAAGAGAACCATTGCAAGGAGAGGATATTACATTCAGAAGGGAAGTTTGGACTGGGAGAGAGCTGTACGTTGCATCAGGCATGCTCTCCGTACCACACCTTCAACTGATTGGTGGAGACGAGTACTGGTACTTGCTCCTTGCTACAGGCCTTCATTTCAAGGGAGTGCTGCTGGTGCTGTTTTTTCTTCAGAGATGATTTGTGAAGCAGTTATTGATAGAATTGTAGAACTATCCAAATTAACAAATTCAGAGATAAATTGCTGGCAGGACTGGCTTGTCTTCTCTGATATTTTCTATTTTTCTTACAAAAAGTGGGTGCATTGATTTTATTGACTTTGTGGACAAGCTGATGTTGAAACTTTGAGAGCAAAGGTGAAGATGGCTGAAGAGACTGTCAAAAGAATTACTAGATTGAATCCGATGTTTCGCATCATGCCTGATATGTCATCAATGGGCATGCCTTCATTTGATGGAAGCACTTCAGACAATTCAGCTGACACAGCTGTTCATGTGCAAGACGATCCACATCATCGCTTCTACCAACATACATAACAGAATTTTCTAAACAAAATTCTAAATAGCCTATTCCAAAATTAACCTGCAAACTGAATTACTAATTCCCATAACCAAATTCCAACAACTTACTAACAACCTCCATAACAAACTTCAACAGAAAATCCCAACTGTTTTAACAATACACAACAAAACCTCCAAACAGAATTCCCAACTAGCATAACCACCTTGTAACGAACTCTCAATCTCACCCTTCAATCCCTAACAAACTCTACCCAAATCAATGGTTTGGATTGATTCTCACTTAACCATTTCCATCTCCCTCAACTACCTATATAATCCAAACTCCCTCCAAGTTTCAAGGGACGAAGTCACTCTCTCTTTTCCAGTTTCAAAACTTCATCATTGTATCAGCTTCAAAACAACTTCTTCCCTCTCCATCATTCACGCTCAATTTTTCTGAACTCTCATAATCTTCAATTTCCCCTCTCTAAACTCCGTCTTCACCTCCACTCTCCATTGTTCGACCTTCAGTCAGTTCTCAAAGCTTCACTTCTCTCTGATTCATCATACATAGTTCATTTTTCTCAACTTGCGATAATCTTCATAATTGTCATCATTTCCTCTCTTCTCCTATCGCCAACGGACACAACCCCCAAACCAAAGAAAAGTGAAGACAGTGATGAGAGGATCAAGACGAAGCAGACAAGATCAAGAAGGACAATAATTGTATTACTTCATCTCTGGATTTCTGAAGCGCTACCAACGTGTCTTCAATAGCGAACGATAAATCCACCATGTAATCTTGATCGGAAGAAATATGGAGCTTAAGTTTCGTTGTTAGATTCGGGATAGAGGAAGAAAAATTGACGAAAGAAAGCAAAGGAGTCGAATTCAGAGGGAGACTTTAGGTGGTGTTAACAAGAAAGTTGAATCAGAACAGGGGAGAAGGGATGGAGTCATGGCGGCATCGCCATTGTTGTTTTCGAATGTAGAAGAAAGGCTTTCTGCGTAAAGGAGCTGGAGGGGGCCGTTTACAGTAAACGCCGTCGTTTTGGAATTTTTTTCTTTTCTCCTTTTGTTATTATTCATTTATTTAATGGTTATTTCAAATGGTTAAATAAAAAAAAAGAGGAGAACTTATTATTATTTTGCCTTTAAGAATTAATTCCTGATTATTCGATTACTCGAAACTGGTAATTCACTTTGCTCGTCAAGATTCGAGTCTTATGTAGGTTTTTATATGGATACGCTCGAGATGCCGATTGTGATTTATTTTCACATTAAAAGATGCTTCAATAATCATTCCGAATATGGGATTTATGACTCTTTTCTTTGTTGATGGTAACAGCTCACGAAATCGTCAAGTATCTTTGCTTTTTCTGCTTTGCTCTACGGGCTAGTATCCGTTTGGTATACTTTCTTTCTATTTTTTACCCGGCATTTATCTTGTCCCATAGATCATATGAAGTGTGATAGAATCAGGTTTAGGCTAGTCTCCCTATAACTTTTCTTTCCCTTTTCGCATATGCATTTATAATAACAAAAATTTCTTTTTTTTTTACAAACTTCAAAAATACAAAAAAGGAAATTTACTGACAAGAACCATGTCTTGGCTAAGTTTGAGAGATGATAAGCGGGTTTCTTCTCGACCTTATTATTCTCTTATTCTAAGCTTTGGTATGGTTCAAGTCTCAAAGACTCATTTCATGAATAAGTAGAGACATGGCTAAAATCTCTCTCTTGAGATTAACTAGCCATTATCTACAAGCAAAAACACCGACAAATACAAACTCTTTTTGCCTCTGGGCCTTCCTTTCAAACCTTTTTCAAAATAACATGTTAATGCACTTCTGTGCTGACGCGTAAGTCTCCAAAGGTCGAGTTGCGGCAGAAGGCGAAATTAATATCATTCATTACAAAAACAAACAAATTCAAACTTTTGTGCGTCCAGGCACATTTCTTTCCAAACTTTTCAAGAGAGCATGTTAATTCACTTCTGTGCTGACGCGTAAGTATCCAAAGGTCGAGTTGCGGCAGAAGGCGAAATTAATATTGTTCGGTAAAAAAAATACAAACAAACAAAAACATGTAAGCCGAACTACGGCTGCTCTGATTCCTTAAAAGGGATACGTAGGCATCGGGGTAGGGCCCGAACGAGCACAACTTTTATTTTCCCTACATTCTTTTCCCCTTTATTTTACATGCATTCCCTCCAGTAGTATAGTAAACAATAAGCATAGATTGAACACACCCATAAGATAGACAACAAGAGTGGATACTGTAGAGTACTACGGGCGTGTGGGGTGCTAATACTTTCCCCTCGCGTAACAGACTCCCTTACCCTTATCTCTTGGTCGTTCGACCTTGATTTCACTCTTTTCAGGTTTACTCGACGTTTACCTTTCCTTCCTATGGGATAAAAGACGTTCAATGGCGACTTCATTGTTTTGATGATTTTCAGCCGGTTGTTTCACTCATTTGACCATTTACTTTCTTGCCATTTTCACTTTGCTCACTTGAGCTTTTCTTTTCCTTTCTTAAGATACTTAATAATCAACATAAACCCTAAAAAATCTTTAATGGTACTTGGACTATTTGGTTACTATCCTTGGCATTATGGAGCATGAGACTTTTCTTGGACTTAGGATTAGAAATCTTGGCCTATCTTGGAGACCTTGTGATCTTATCTGATTATTATGTCTGGTGTTCTTGAGGTTTACCTCAAGACATTGGGTTGCTTATTTGTTTTTGTGTGCAGGTTTTTATGATTATACCCTTTGCTTGTAATCTAAAATTCACCCGTATACAACAGTTACCCTGCCCAATTTTTGTGAAGACTTAATACACTTGAAGTTTGGTTCTCTCAAGAGGTCTAGTATTTTTTGCTTGATTGGTTTCAATCCAAGGAATGGGAATTATATCTTGTCTCAAAATGTCAAGTATTGGCTTCTTATTGGTTAGATAGTTCTTATCCCTAGCTTTTACCTTATGCTTTAGGAAAGTCCCTTCTTATCCTTCCATCTTCTTTAATTTCAAAAATCTTCTTCCTCCTTTTGAAAACTCTTCTTGTTTTTAAACTGGAACCACTTTCATAATAAACTGGGACTTATGTCCATGGATTTTCAAAACATTTTCATAAGTAAACTCTAATCAACTTAATAATACCTTGACATTTTTTGTGAGAAGACTAAAAGTCAATCAATCTTATTTCAAACCATTTTACCACTTTGGATTTTATCTTTAAACTTTTATCAAAAAAAGATTGAACTCTTGTCAATCCTTGTAGTGATGCAAACAATTATACTTCTACAATATGTAGTGAAGATAGATATTTTCCACTTGGGTGTTGAGAGAGACATTGTTGATTTTAAAATCCAAGCCATATCCTCCACTTTGAGATGATGCAAATTCTCCTTTCTCATAATTGTGGGTAGTAGGTATGTTTTCCATACGGACAATGACGATGATGTTTTATCTCATAAAATTAACCAACACATTTGTGTCTTAAATTTTTTTTTAAAAGAGGAACTACGTGTACCCTGATCCCCTATTGCACGAAAAGGTGGTACGTAGGCACTAAAGGTTTGCAGCCGCGGTGGGTGCAAAAATTATAAAATAAATATATTTCTTTTCTCACCTCCACCATCCATTTTTTATATACAACATTTTTTTCATAGCCAAAATATACAGATTTTACAAAGAGGCTCCTGCGGAGTACCGTAGATGTTTAGGGTGCTAATACCTTCCCTTTGCATAACCAACCCCTTACCTTGAATCTTTCCCCCTCTTTTTTGGTTATTCGCTCTTTTCCCATTCCTTTGGAAACAATAAAGCACGGTGGCGATTTTTATTTTGATTTGTATAAAGTCTAGTCAATCCAATGGCTT